CGGGATAATTTAAAGTTAAGAAAAGCTAGCTAGCAACAAGCCAAGCTAAGGCCAGGCATTTATAATTAATAATAAGCCTCAAACTGTAATTTATTTGGGAGCTGGATGATGTCCCCCCCCCAAAAAAAGAGTAAAGAGTAATAAAACAACCAACCACAAGCGTGAGCCTCCCATGTGCTGGGATCAAAGGCCTGCACCACCACCACCAGGCTGTGTTTCTTTTAGACTGGTTCAATCTCATGTAGCCCAGGGTGGCCTTGAACTCCTGATCTTCCTGCTTCCTCCTCCCAAGTGCTGGGATTCAAGGTGTGTGCCACCACTGCCTGGCCTCTATGGTTAACTAGTGGCTAGCTCTGCCCTCTGATCTCTAGGCAAGCTTTATTTGTCAGAAAACAAACTAAGTATCATACAACACATAAATAAAAGCAATCTTTCTCTTTAAAAAAAAAAGAACTTTTCTTCCTACAATTAAGGAATTGAGAGATGGGGAGGCCTGTTTTCTTCTAAGGGTTTTGGCTTGCACAGGGCCTTCTCAGCTAGTTTACACATGTCCTATTTTCTGGATTCCTGTGTCTGGAGTCTGGCTTTTTTCTTCTTTCTTAGGACTCCCATCAGATCAGGTTAGGCCCTGCTCTTGAAACACACCATTTTACCTTAATCCTATCTTTCAAGGGTTATCTTGAAATAGGACTATAATCTGAGGTCCTGGAGAACGACATCAGCATTTCTATTTGTTGGGGACACAACTTAGTAAAGACTAAGACAAGGCTTCCGAAAGGCTCACGCTTTCCCTTTGACACAATAACTTTGAGATCCTAATTGCAACTCCTGGCTCCACTGCTTGCTTGTTCTGTGACTTTGGACAAGTGCTTTGACCTGTCCCGTCATTTGTATTGTTCTCCCTGTTTCGTCAAGACGGTCTGTGGAGCCCAGGCTGGCTTCAACTCAACAGAACTCTGGCATGTGCCTTCCAAGTGCTGGGATTACAGCTCTATCATCTGTAAAATGGTGAGAATTTCTCCCTCACATGGGTGGTTGGTTGTATGGAAAAGTATGAAAAACGTTAAGTGTGGGGAGTGCTTAACAGCATCTGGAAGGAGTAAGGACAATGTATTTACTATTGGTTTTAAAACTTCTTCCTGCCGGGTGGTGGCCTTTAATCCCAGCACTTGGGAGGCAGAGGTAGTGGGTCTCTTCGAGTTCGAGGATAGCCTGGTCTACAAAGAGAGTTCCAAGACAGCTAGGGCTGTTACACAGAAGAAACCCTGTCTCAAAAACAAGCAAACAAAACAAAACACAACAAAAACCCTTTTCCATCAGTAATTGTAATTCTTCATGTTTGCCTTGACAAATAGACTATCTGGGAACTAAATGGATACTGGGGGGAAAATCTGAAAAAAATTTTTTTTATAATTTAATTTAATTTTACTTATCAGCCACGGATTCCCTTGTTCTCCCCCCTCCCACCGCCCCCCCCAGCCCACCCCCCATTCCCATCCCCTCCATGGCAAAGACTCCCCTGAGGATTGAGTTAAACTTGGTAGATTCAGTCCAGGCAGGTCCAGTCCCCTCCTCCCAGGCTGAGCCAAGTGTCCCTGTATAAGCCCCAGGTTTCAAACAGCCAACTCATGTAATGAGCACAGGACCCGGTCCCACTGCCTGGATGCCTCCCAAACAGATCAAGCTAATCAACTGTCTCACTTATCCAGAGGGCCTGATCCAGCTGGGGGCTCCTCAGCTATTGGTTCATAGTTCATGTGTTTCCATTCGTTTGGCTATTTGTCCCTGTGCTTTATCCAACCTTGGTCTCAACAATTCTCGCTCACACAAACCCTCCTCTTTCTCGCCAGCTGGACTCCTGGAGCTCCACCTGGGGCCTGGCCGTGGATCTCTGCATCCGGTTCCCTCAGTCGTTGGATGAGGTTTCTAGCACGACAATTAGGGTGTTTGGCCATCCCATCACCAGAGTAGGTCAGTTCGGGCTGTCTCTCAACCATTGCCAGTAGTCTATTGTGGGGGTATCTTTGTGGATTTCTGTGGGCCTCTCTAGCACTTTGCTTCTTTATTGTATGAATAGGTGTTTTGTCTGCATTATGTCTGCACACCAGAAAAGGGCATTAGATTCCATGGGATTAGTTATAGACAGTTGTGAAATACCATGTGGTTGCTGGGAATTGAACTCAGGACCTCTGGAAGAGCAGCCAGTACTCTTAACCACTGAGTCATCTCTCCATCACCCCCAAATTTCTTTTTTTATTTATTATGTATACAGAACAGGACGTCAGATCTCGTTACAGATGTTTGCGAGTCACCACGTGGGTGCTGGGAATTGAACTCAGGACCTCTGAAAGAGCAGTCGGTGCTCTTAACCTCTAAGCCATCTCTCCAGCCCCAAATTTCTTTTTTTTAAAGACTGGTTTATTTGGGCTGGAGAGATGGCTCAGCAGCTAAGAATACTTGTTGATCTTCCAGAGAATGCTAGTTCAAAACCCAGCACCCATGTCAGGCAGCTCACAACTGTCTGTAACTCAGCTTTGGGGGATCCAGTGACCTCTTCTGGTCCCTGCTGACACTAGCACACACATTACTTATGTGCACCACATGCATGCAGATCCCCTGGAACTGGAGTTATCAGCCATCTCGAGTTGCCTGATGAGGATGCTGGAAATCAAACTCAGGTCCTCTACAAAAACACCAAGTGCTCTTAACCACTTCGTCATAACCTCTCCAGCTCCAAACCTGAGATGTCAAGAAACAGTGAAGCAGAGGTGGCAGATTCAACAGCTCCAACAGTCTCATTTCGGCCATTAACACAAGCCATGTGACACATTGGCAATCCATCTCCTTTGCAGACTGACCCGTGTATTTCCTTTTCCTTTAAACTACCTTGTGATAGTTTCCCTGGTAACAAACCAGAGGCTCCCCATTCCAGAGAGCATTGGCTAGAAACACAGCAGGCCTGCAAAGCAATCAATCTGCACTCAGCAGATGAGGAGCTGGCACACGGGGAGGTGGCTGAGCAGCCAAGTCCTTTCACTTGCTACTTCTAGCCAGGGCTTCTGGACGAAGTGTGGCATTCAAGTTTCAACTCTTCTGTGCCAGGGGGTTAAAAGGAACTGTGAGAAATGAGTACAGCCAAGCCCCCAGTGACCAAAGGACACTGTCAGAGAGGTAGCAATCCAGAAGGCTGTAGACTGCTACAGCTCACACACTGTACTTGTTACTTGTCCATGAAAAAGTAAACACACTGAGTAAGGGGTCAGAAATGTTCAGAGACTGGCAAGTGTCTACCTCTTGAATATATAGTAAAAACCTTATACTTGTACTGTCTTTTTGGTTGTGTGTGTGTGTGTGTGTTCGTTCCAGAAGACAACCTTAGATGTCATTCCTTGGGAGTGGCCCTTTGGTTTTTTTTTTTTTGTTTTTGTTTTTTTTTTAAAGATTTATTTATTATGTATACAGCATGTTTGCCTGCAGGCCAGAAGAGGGCACCAGATCTCATTACAGATGGTTGTGAGCCACCATGTGGTTGCTGGGAATTGAACTCAGGACCTCTGGAAGAGCAGTCAGCGCTCTCAACCGCTGAGCCATCTCTCCAGCCCCTGGTTTTTGTTTTAAAACAGTCTCTCACTAACTTGGAGCTCGCCAAATGGGTCAGCCTGGCTGGGATCTGCTGGTCTCCTCCTCCATAGCACTAGGGTTGTTAAGAACGTGCCACCATGCAGGGCTGTGAACAGGTTCTGAGACTCAAATTTTCAGAACTGAGCTCTCTCCCTAGCACCACCCCCACTGTTTTTTTTTTTTTTTTTTTTTTTTAAAGACAGGTTCTCATGTAGGGCAGGCTGGCCTCACATCCAGCTACACAGCCAAGGATGGCCTTGCACTCCTGGTCCTCCCACCTCTCAAGCACTGGATTATAGACATGTACTAAGACACCTACCCTGTACTTTGTCTTTTTATTCATTTTTTCCCTCAATATTCACTCACGGTTTATAAAAGTGTTGCTCCATAGCAAGTAAGCATGCTATATGGACAGTTTTAGTACTAGGTTAAAAACTTCAAAGTATCTTTCAGTGTGAATGAGTATTCTTATAACAGCAGGATATTGCTAGAAGGCCCTAGCATATTCCATTCCAAACTTTAAAAAAATTAATAAAACTATGGTGTGGGGTGTTTTTGCATTCTACCTTACAAGAGAACAAAACAATAGTTGTTTCTCCATCAGAATTTTCACATTTCATTTTCACACTGGGAATGAGCAGCAGCTTCCCCCCTGTGCTTCTTTAGACTGCAGCCAACCCACAGTACTCAGAACTAGAAGGCGTGATAGCAGAAAACCCCCCAAGTCTGTCCAAACCCGATTCAAATCCTAGCTTCGCTGCCTGATAGCTTCTTGCCACTGGGTAACCATATGGCTTCACTGAGGCAGTTCCCTTAATTACACAATGCAGACTGAAGAAAGCTGCCTGCCTCATCTGTACTCCTGGTCTGTTGGGAGGCAGTTGAGTGCATCCCGAAGTGTGGCAGATATACACAATGCGATCAATCCCGGTCTTCAAAGAGCTGACCCCCAGAGTGACCAAGCCCGAGGTGGTGGAGCAACAAAGTTACAGAATACTGACATTCCTCAAATACCATGTTAACCAGACTTCATCAAACTAGAAAACATTGCCCTTGAATGTAGCTGGAGAGAGAGAAAACTCTCCAGCTACACTTGAATTCTCTCCTTGCAGAGAACTCTTCATGACTCTCAAACCCATTTGTCTCCCAGCACCTAGCACCACAGAGGACCTCTAGAGGGACAAGCAGGAGAGCACACAGTGCCTGTCCCGCACAGCTCAGTTCCAGGGTGCTACCAGCACCAGGCACAGAAAGTAGGACTTGGTGAGAACAAGGGAAAAGCAATTTCATTTAACTTGTTTAACTATTCAAAAACTCCCCTCAAAAGGCCCCAAACAAAACACACTATTCATTCCTATACTTTAGGCAAGACCAGAGAATCATGTTTTTGCTTTATTGACATTACAGTAGACAGGACGAACACATGCTCTATAAAATATACATTCTTATGTGAGAAAATATAATCGATACCAGGAAACAGCCACACTGAACAACGTGGCTTGGATCTCTTTGGAAGTGTCTTACACCAGGGCTGCTCAGCCCGACATCCTCTAATGGGAAAGAGAAGAGAGGCCAGCAGGGAGAAGTCACTCCGTGGGTGAAGAGGCCATCTCCAGCAGCCAGGACGTATTTCAAGGGCACTTGGCCACCTGAAGATCAGCTTCTCATTGAAAACAGTTACAGTCTCGACAAGATCACTTCACATCCAACAATAGGCGCAAACAAGTCAAGCTGCTCTTCACCCTCACACCACCCACCTCGTGATGATTACCAAGAAATAATGTTTGCACCAAGAGGGAGTGGATCCAATTCGTAACTTAAAGCACACTGGCTGGGAGAGTGCTTGCCTGGGTCTGATTCCTAGGATACCATACACCAACCTCTCCTTCCCCTCCCACCTTTTCACAAAGCCTACAAGTGGTTCTTGGGTTTTCAGATGTTCTAAGTACAATTCCTAATGCATCCCTAATTCAGAAACTTGGTACTTCTGTCAATGAACTAATGTCCAAAAAGAACAAAAGAAAAAGAAAATCCAGGCAAAGTGCTATATATTTAGATCATGTTCCAAACAAAAAGTTTAAAGTAGAAAGGGAGGTGGCAGAACACCGCCAGACTGGACTGGCAGAGAGCACCTAACAGAAAAAAAACCCAGCTCAGCCATTTATGGTCCCATTGTTTTTATAACCACCCATTACTCTGCAGCAAACCAACATGCCAACTGAGGCAGCAGCTCAGAGGTAGAGCATTTGTCTGGTACATAGGAGCCTATAGATTCAATCCCCAGGACTGCCAACACAAAAACAAAAAAGGCCCAAAGATGGAATATGTCTAAGAGAACAACAAATATGGGGTCTGAGCTCAGTGGGAGAACATGCAGCTGACATTCACAGAGTTGAAGTTTCAAAGCCCAGCACCGGGGAAACAGACACACTTACCTGATACTCCTTACCCCTGTAGCATGTCAGTGGTATCCAATAATGAGAAAGGGCCATCCTCTTATACTTGGGTAAAACATTATAAAACTGAACACTGCAATAACAACTCCACTCCAGTTGGGCTCCATAGGCAAGAATAAAAATTAATCAAGTCAGACATACCTATCGCCCCCACATTTCAGAGGAGGCGGCAGGAGACTGAGAGTTCAAGGCCAGTGGGGGCTTTAAAAATTAGTAATATTTTTCAAAAATCAGAGTAAAGAGTTATAATACAACACAGGCTTAAATTTTTGTTAGAGTAATGGCACTTGTGTAGAAAGTATAGGTTTTTTTTTCAGAAAAATAATGCCATCATTTCATGTTTTTACCTGTGAACACAGATCAGATTCTTTTGTTAACCAAAGTCCCAAATGGCTTAGTTTTAGAAAAAAAATCTGAAGTGCACTAAACCAACACAAAGATCAAAGGACAAACTCTCAAGCTAATGATAACAATAGAGATGTTACAGTGACACTGCCCGTGTTCCACACCATCGAAGAACTCTCTTCAGCATGACTAGCAATTAGTGTCTGCACAAACCTCCCCCCTAAAGGCAGACTATTTCCATTACCAGAGAAGTGTCATTATTAGACTAAGACAGGTACTCTATACCTCTCTGGAGACGGTATCTGTTGTTTCCTACAACAAGATGTAAATAAAGACTTCTACCATGTCCCCCTTTTCACAGGTTGACAGTGCTGAAACTGCTTGATGCAGACTAATGGTCCTTTACGACCCCTCCCTGGGCAGGTCCTTTACGACCCCTCCCTGGGCAATGTACAGCCAACTAAGAGTGAAAGTTCCCTGTTGTAGAAAAGCATTTTAACATGTGTTACATTTGTTTATGCTGTGGAACATTTGTTTAATGATGCAAAGATGTGTTGCATTCTTTTATGTTGCATTTGTTTAACTCTGTGAAGCTGTGTTACTTCTTTTCCTTTCTGAAAAACCTGATGGTCTAATAAAGAGCTGAACGGCCAATAGCAAGGCAGGAGAAAGGAAGGGTGGGGCTGGCAGGCAGAGAGGATAAGTAGAAGGAGAAATCTGGGAGAAAAAGAAAGAACAAGAGACAAGGAAGAGGAGGAGAAAGAGGAGGAGGAAAAGGAGGAAATCAGGGGCCAGCCGCCCAGCTGCACAACCAGTAACAGGGTAAGAAAGAAAGGTACATAGAAATAGAGAAAGGTAAAAGCCCAGAGACCAAAGATAGAAGGGATAATTTAAAGTTAAGAAAAGCTGGCTAGCAACAAGCCAAGCTAAAGCTGGGGATTTATAATTATGAATAAGCCTCCGTGTGTAGAATCAGCTCAAGAGGGGCACCAACAAATTAAGAGAACTTACATTGTCCCACAAAAATGAAGTAGGAACTGGCTGGGGGATGGACTACTTCTCTGAGGATTTCAGTTTCCCTTGCTCTGCAATGTCCCTGATTAACTTAGTCCTAGGTGAACCCTGTCCAGCCTGGAGGAAGCGCTGAGGAGACACCAATTCTATCACTATTGGAGGGTAGAGACTGCTTGGTCAAACCTGTGCAAAGAAGTTTTTTCAGGAATTCCTTTCTCTAAGTTAATATATTGTAGTTTTGTTTGGGTTTTTTGTTTGTTTTTGGAGACAGGGTTTTTCTGTGTAGCTTTGGAGCCTGTCCTGGAACTCACTCTGTAGCCCAGGCTGGCCTCGAACTCACAGAGATCCACCTGCCTCTGCCTCCTGAGTGCTAGGATTAAAGGAATGCACCACCTCGGCCTGGCTAAGAATCTATTGTTATTTTAACTAGAAGCAGGCAGGCTCTTTTCCTTAACAGTTATTTAAGCAAGCCAGGGATATCTGGGAGGGCAGGTCCAACATCCCACCAACCCTCAGACCAGACTGACACCCCAGCAGAAAGGCCACTGCTGGAACTTCGGGGTGATGTCCTGGATAAAGCATTTCCAGAGGACTGCGTCAGGGCCTGCTTTCTATCCGACAGATCCCAGCTGACAGAGCACTAAACTGACTACAGAAGTGGCATGGCCAGCCACACATGGGCTGCAGCACACCTCCACTCTGAGCCCCTGTGTGCTGGAGCACTGCTGCTCTAGAAGACAAAAGGCAATTTTTCAATTCAGACGTGAGTCTTTGTTTACTGACATTGTTTAAAAGCAGAGCATTCCCCCCCTCCCCTGAGCATTTCTTAGACCATTAGTCCTGTATTGGGGAAATAAATACAGTTCAAGTTAGAGCAAGCAGCAGCATCCTTGATCTAGCTAACAGTTCACAAAGGCAGCTCTTTACTGAAGTGGCACAATCCTCGTGGTTCCTGGAGGGAGCTGGAGAGCGGCTTAGAGCTGGTGGACAGCCTCTTCCCATCAGCAGGAGTCAGATATACAGCTGGCGGGAGCAGCACTAGGAAGGGGGCCGGGTTCTAATTCCCAGTCAGACCACTATAAACTAGAAGACAGCCCAAAAGGAAGAAAGAATCCAAAGAGAGGAGAAGACTACAATATGTGAAAGGTTCAAAGTGGAAATGAAGACATCATGACACTTTAAAAAGAAAAAGAAAGTTAAAAAAGCTAACAGCGGCCGGGCGGTGCTGGCGCACGCCTTTAATCCCAGCACTCGGGAGGCAGAGCCAGGCGGATCTCTGTGAGTTCGAGGCCAGCCTGGGCTACCAAGTGAGTTCCAGGAAAAGGCGCAAAGCTACACAGAGAAACCCTGTCTCGAAAAACCAAAAAAAAAAAAAAAAAAAAAAGCTAACAGAGCTAACAGCACTTTTATCTGAGGAAGAAAAATTAAAGATTAAGACAAGCATGGAAAAAAGTCAGAAATTCATCTTTCTGACAAAAAGCTAAGTGAGTTTGGAATTCTAAAAATATACAGTTACTTACAAACAGACACTTTTAAAAGTCCAGAGCCATCTAGCAGGAAGCTGGTATTACAAAGGACAGACTGAAAGCACATGACATTTCATCAGTGTTAACATTCTTTGTTTACATAAAGCTTTTTGCTACCAGAAATTCAAGAAAGTTTTTTGGCTTCAGTAATAACTGGTATAAAGTAAGGACCACACTAAATCAGAGTACAGGAACTTCCGTGGGATCTACTCCCAAGAGCACACTTCCCTTCTTAATATGCTACATTCATGAAGGAGATTAAAAACAAAGTAAACATAGAAAAGAACAATCTTTGGTTTCCTTGTCATTAAAGTACTTTGCTGACAGAAGACAGTCCCCAAATAAGTAATCTTCTATGCTCACAGGGCTGCGACAAGGGTGCTGGGCTCTGGAAGAGCTAGACGTTTATGCTAGAACAAGATTATCACCTGGCACTTGTAAACAGATGGCAAGGGATTGGATGTATGGACCTTCAGGCATGAAGCAAGCAGTTAATTACACCAAGACTGAGTTTGTGAGCACACAATCACTAAGTACCCCGCCTCTCTACATAAGCTTCGTAACAAATAATCTTAGAGCTCTAAACAGAGTTTGTAGACCTCATTAAACTAAGTTATGTAAAATCTGTGATCTTGAGAAGTTGCTGCCCAGACAGTAACCAGATAGACATATATATAATTTGGGCATATCAAAAGTATTTACACTGTAGCCAACACACAAGGTCAATGAGTAGAAAAATTATTTATAAATGCACATATATTTACAATGACATCCCTGGTTATAGGGACAAAACATACCCCCCCACACACACACAGCCAAAAAATAAAAATAAAACAAAACACACACACACACACACACACACACACACACACACACACACACACACACACACGAATACAAAAAGCCTTTGCTCTGGTACCAGTCAGCAAAACTTAGATTCTAGCTGAAGACCTTGAATATCAAAGCCTCAGCCTCCATTCTCTGTTCAACACCACAGGAGAATCCCAGTCAGAGTTAGGAGAACTCAGAAGATATCTCTGCTCCTAACTTGGAAGGCCAAGTAGAATGTCCAAGTAGTGATGCTTTCCCATGACCATTCTGAGGACTGGGGCAATCCAGCAGGCTAAGCAGCAACGACACTCTTCATGACCGGCAGCGCACACCTGGGCACATCCCTGTGGGGCCATCTGGAAGGATACTTGCCCACATCGTCTTCCCCAGGGCTGTGTACTCTCAACACGGTACACATTTCTGCGGTACATTTGTCAGCCACTAACTTTTCTTCAACAGGTGTAAGCCCAAACATCAGGGCTACTTTGGGGTGGTCAGATATAATTCGAAGCAAAGAGTTATGCAAGTGCTGACTTTGGGGGTTCTTCTCAACTCTGAGGTAGTAAATTAACTAACTTGAGTTTCTGCTCAGACTTCCTCCCGAATGGGCTTCATGTGCATTCACTACCATCTTGACTGTTCCGAGTCCTACTAAAATCGAAAGTGTGGTCATGTAACCTGTGGCAGGACACAGGGGAAGAGCAGTTTGGATCCCTCTCTGCCAGGCCCTCATGTCGCTGAAGCTGTGGTGAGTCAAGGACAGGCGGCTGGGGAAAGGGAAGTAGGCCTAGTTCTCTGTTCATGTTCCACAGCGGCCGCTGGAATATTTCTGAGAATAAGAAATAAGAAATACCATCAGTAACAACAGGAATTTCACAATTAATTCCCGAAAGCCTGATATCCTTTTAAAATGCATGTGGGTGTTTTGCCTACATATATGTTTGTGCGTCACGTGTGTCTGCCCAGAGGCCAGAAAACAGAACTGGATCTCCTGGAACTGAAGTTACAGATGATCATGGTGAGCTGCCATGTCGGTGCTGGGAACTGAACCCAGGTTCTAAGAGCAACAAATACTCTTTATCCCTAAGCCATCTCTCCAGCCTTTTAACCCAATCTCCAAAAAGAAGTAAAAGCCAGGCGGTGGTAGCGCATGCCTTTAATGCCAGCACTCGGGAGGCAGAGCCAGGCGGATCTCTGTGAGTTCGAGGCCAGCCTGGGCTACCAAGTGAGTTCCAGGAGAGGCACAAAGCTACACAGAGAAACCCTGTCTCGAAAAACCAATAAAATAAAATAAAATAAAAAAACCAAAAAAGAAAAAAGAAGTAAAGTTGCCCAGCATCCTTGATGAGGACACTGAGATCACAACGCCAACATTAAAAATAAAAACTGGAACCACAAACTACCAAATCTTTATATTCAACAGAACTAATAAGCTTATTTCTGAAATCATGTTGCTGTTTTTCACCTGTTATTTTAGTAGCTTTTCTGCTTTGAAAATTGTGTTGGCTAGTTTCATGTCAACTTGACACAGGCTGAAGTCATTTGAGGAAATCTTAATTAAGAAAATACCTCTGAAGCTGGAGAGATGGCTCAGAGGTTAAGAGCACTGGTTGCTCTTCCAGAGGTCCTGAGTTCAATTCCCAGTAACCACATGGTGGCTCACAACCATCTGTAATGAGATCTGACGCTGTCTTCTGAAATGCAAGCAGAACACTATATACATAATAAATAAATCTTAAGGAAAAAAAAAAAAGCTGAGCCAGCTCTCCAGTGCCAATAACACACTTAAACAAAACAAAACCTCTAAGATGGGGCTGTAGGCAAGCCTATTTAGCATTTTCTTAATTAGTGATGGATGGGGTGGACCCAGACCATTGTAGATGATGCCATCCCTTTGGTGGTGGTCCTGGGTTCTATAAAAAAAAAAGCAGGCTGTGGGGCTGGAGAAATGGCTCAGCAGTTAATAGCACTGGCTGCTCTTCAGAGGACCCAGAGTTCAGTTCTCAGCACCCACATGGCAGCTCACAACTGTCTGTAACTCCGGTTCCAGAGGCTCTGACACCTTCATACCAATGCACATAAAAATAAAGTTAAATAGATTTTTTTTTTTTTTAAAGCAGACACTCCAGAGACTGCCCGATAAAGTTATACCTTGAATCAGGGGGCCGAGTCAGTGACTAGCTAACGGGAATTGGTCATAGAGAAGGCAACAATTTGGATAGAGAAGATGCACAGGAAGGAAAGGGTAGGGACTGGAATTTGAGCTCTCTTGGTTCTGGGATGAGGGAAGACACTGTCTCTGGCAGTGTCTCTAGCCAAAAAGCAAGGTCAGCTAGTTGTTACTCAGCATCTCTGGCTAGTAGGTTTTCATCCCAGCCTTTGACTTCTGAGTCTTATTGATAAACAGAGTGATAGAGACTTAACCATGGCCACAGGACTGGAAGCCCCACCAAGCCTGAGTGGCAGCTGGGTGCTGACTGAGGGGCTGTGGGTGGCAGAGGATAAAATATGAGTAGATTCATGTGCAGCCACTAAGACAAAAAAATCAGGCTGAACAAGCCACAAGGAACAAGCCAGTAAATAGTATTCTCCATGGCCTCTGCATCAGCTCCTGCCTCCAGGTTCCCTGCCCTGCTTTGAGTTCCTGCCCTCACTGCTTTTGATGAACTGTTATATGCAATTGTAAGCAGAAGAAACCCTTTTCTCACCAAGTTGGCTTTGGTCGTGGTGTTTCATCACAGCAATAAAAACCCTAACTGAGACAAAAATATAGTACAAAATTCTAGACACATGGAAAAGGAATATTGTAATGACAGTTCCATGACACACAGATAATAATCATTAATTCAGTGGAGCTGTCACTTCTTTAAATATATGTTTAAATTTTTATATGTATGGATGTTTTGCCAGTGTGTCTACGCACCACATGTGCCTGGTGCCTGTGGTCAGAGGAGGGCATCAAATCTCGTGGAACTGGAGTTACAGGCAGTTGTGAGTCACCATATGGGTGCTGGGAACTGAACCTAGGTCCTCTGGAAGAGTGGCCAGTGTTGTTAACCAGGGAGCCATCTCTCTAGTCCAGTGATTCTCAACCTGTGGGTTGCACCCCTTTGGAGGTCGAATAACAGCCTGCATATCGGATATTTACATGTGATTCATAACAGTAGCAAAATTAATTATGAAGGAGCAACGAAATAATTATGGATGGGTGTCACCACAACATAAAGGGTTACAGCATTAGGAAGGTTGAGAACCAGTGCTCTAGCCCCTCTTTAAAGACATTTTAAAAGCTGAATGTGGACCTACTGTATGGCTCAGCTGTTAAAGAAGCTTGCCACTCAAGCTAGGGACTTGTGTTCAAACCCCAGAATCCACATAAAAGTAGGCAGGAACTGACTCCACAAATCTGTCTTCTGACCTTGGTATGCACTCTGTGGTACATCCCTCCAATACACTCAAGTAAGTCATAGAAGTTAAAGGATAGGTATGGGAGTATACAGTCCCAGCACTCAGGAGGCAGAGGCAGGATTGCCACAAAACTGAGACTAGCCTGGTCTACATTGCATATTCTAAGCCAGCCAGGGCTCCTTAGCAAAATCTTGTCTCAAAAAGCCAAAGAAAAAGAGTTTTAAAAATAACCATTCTCGGGGGCTGGAGAGATGGCTCAGAGGTTAAGCGCACTGACTGCACTTCCAGAGGTCCTGAGTTCAATTCCCAGCAACCACATGGTGGCTCACAACCATCTGTAATGAGATCTGGCACCCTCTTCTGTATACATAATAAATAAATAAATTTAAAAAAAAAAAAAATAACCATTCTCAGCCAGGCGTTGGTGGCTCACGCCTTTAATCCCAGCACTCGGGAGGCAGAGGCAGGCAGATCTCTGTGAGTTCGAGGCCAGCCTGGTCTACAGAGTGAGTTCCAGGACATCCAAGGCTACACAGAGAAACCTTATCTCAAGAAAGAAAGAGCAAACTAACGTAACTATTAGTAAATCGGATTATCTGTACTTTGGTTTCAAAAATGTCCATTTCTGAGCCAGGTGTGGTGATGCACACCTGTAGTCAGAGCACTGAAAAAACAGAGGTAGAAGGACGATACGTGTGTACACACACACACACACCACATGACATATTTTGGGAAAAGTTAGTCTAACATTCTGGAAACAAACACCCATAAATGAAAGCAAAATTCACCTAGAATGTAAACTAGGGCAGAATTCTCAAAATTTAATATGCATCTGGGGGCTGAGGAAATGAGGGGCTCAATGGGTAAGAGGACTTGTTGTGAAAGGAAGAAGACCTGAGTTCAAATTCCCAGCACTCATTAAAGGTCAGGCGAGGTCATATATGACTGTAACTCCAGCACAGAGAAGCAGTGACAAGAGAATCCCAGGACCTTGCTTGCCAGTCAGCCTAGCTTAAACAGCAATCTCCAGGTTTACAAAAGTGACCCTGTCTCAAAAACTAGGCTCAAAAGCAATGGAGGATGACTCTATGGACATTCTCCTTTAGTCTCCCCATGCATGTGTCTCTACGCACGTGAATGCATACAGTTACACACAAAACAAAAACAATTTAATACAAGCCATGTGAGGTGGTTCATGCCCATAATCCCGGCATTTGCCTGTTACCTCAGCACTTGAGAGGCAAGGCAGGAGAATTAAGTGTTGGATTTGAGCATGACACCATCACTCACACACACACACACACACACACACACACACACACACACACACACACACACACAACAAATAACAAGGCATATAAGTAATTTTTGGGCCTTATTAAACTTTGAATTCAGATTCACTAAGTCTAACACAACTGCATGTCTAACAAGTTCTAAGGTAATGCTAAGGGATGCTAGCACACACTGTGTGGAATTAATTAGGATACCCTAGGCAAAGAATGGACAATCCAAGGCAGTCTCATCTGTGCAATCTCTGTACTTAAAACAGATTCAAATGAAGACTTCCACAGGTTAAAAGAGGTTTCGTACTTCAGTTCTTTCAAGACACTGAACGTAAAGCTAAGAGACTGCTGCCTTCAATGACAGTGCTATTCTCTGACCTACACCTCTTGAGAAATCTTGAGAACTGGTCTCTTACAGAGCACATCTTCAGTCTCGTTTACTGCTGCCAGAACTGTCGCTGGAAGCAACACCATACCTTTGTCTGTGACCCTGCAATTTTTGCCCTGTGTCCCACTCCCCATGTTCTTCCTCTGAGAGGAAGTGACAGCTGATTGGTCCAGAAAGAGCTTTGTTTTGCTGACATGGGCGATATGATGCCAAGATGGCTTGCCCGACAGAACAACCAAACAAAACATTTTAGGTTTCTCATGCCATATGTTTAGCCCTTCAAATCTCCATTATTTAAACGACGATAAGTAAAGACCTCTAGTTGACACTAGTTAACAATGGCAATTACTCTAGTATACTAATTTGTTTGTTTCCCATGAAATGAGTGTGCTACTGATACAACAGAAAGGCAGGTCAGGGAAAGTGAAATTCAAAGCTCCTGTTACCACTGCTCATCTGTGAGAAGGGAAGCTTCTCATTCATCCTCTCATGGTTGGTGGGAAAGGCAGACAGCTCTCTCTCTGCTGATGGTATCAGACTCTCCAGAGTAGTAGCATCTTGGGGAGGATTCGACAAAAATGTCTCTTTGGGCATCTGAACCATGAGGCTGGACAGGGTCTGGTCTAAAACATCCTCCTCAGCAATATAGGTGTACGGACAGTATTCTCGGGTCCTCGAGTAGATGTTGGCATTGTCATAACAATCTGAACAGATCACCCGGGTACTGGTACCACCTAATAACATGGGAAAGAACCCAAATGCTTTTCTGTTAAGGCATAACTTTCTTCAACAGTTGTAGCATTTACTGTACACTTACTTTATAAAACAGGTGAAATTTCAAGGTCTTTATGCAATTAACTCATTTTTTCCCTCACAACATCCCTATGAAGCAGATAGAATTCTCATCTCCACTTTATAGAGAAAGCTGAAGTGTAAACCTAGACACTCTGGCTTCAGAGCCCATACTCTTGAATTCTAATGTTAAATCTCTGTCTCTGTCTAGCCTGGAGAGATTAAACTCCAACCACGGGATCCAAGACAGGTCTGGACCTCTACTCTGAAATACAACTTGGCTTGAGCAATTGAAAGCAAATAAGCTCATGTTACTTTTATGAGTCAAGAAGTTAAGCAACAGTAGCTGCTCACACTATCCCTAGCCAAATCCACCTTTCTGTGTCTGTCACTTTCTACAGAAGTGAGGTTATGACGAGGGAAGGGCAAGAAGAGGTTCTAGTCACTTTACTACGGGACATTTTATAGCCCTCTGAAGTTCTCCATTATGGGCTGAGAGTCATTTTGCCCTTTAAACTTTACTAAGTATCTACTAGTCAGCAGGAGAACCAAATGCCCTTTGGATGTTATCTAAAGGATGCTCATCTCTAAAAGGGCAAGAAACACTTGAAAAGAGTTTCAAGAACATCCTCTTTTTGTAATGACAAAGATCCAGGAGGCTCAGCCGTGTCCTTCAATCCCTGTTAAAGGGTAATGTGTTTCTTTTTGTAAGATGGCCTTCTTTTCTGGTTAAGACTTTATAGTCAATTTCTTTCCATTTTGTATGAAGTTAAATGTTCTAAATGTTTTATCTTTTTTTTTTTTTTTTTTTTTTTTTTTGGTTTTTCGAGACAGGGTTTCTCTGTGTAGCTTTGCGCCTTTCCTGGAACTCGCTTTGGAGACCAGGCTGGCCTCAAACTCACAGAGATCCGCCTGCCTCTGCCTCCCGAGTGCTGGGATTAAAGGCGTGCGCCACCACCGCCCGGCCCTAAATGTTTTATCTTAAAATCTTGCTTCAGGCTAATGGTGAAACTACACTGAACAACAAACCCACTGGAACAGGCTGAAATTGGCACTATGAACCTCGAGTGCCTACCGTCGGTGCCCTTGTGTACGTATCCGTTGGCGGGAGGCATAAGCTGCTGATGACTGCCGGCCTCAGAGTTGCTGTAGCCTTCCTGTGGTTCCGACAGTGTTCCTTGGGAAGACAGATAGCTGGGAATGTCTGCAGGCAAATTAAGTTCCTCTGTAAAGAGACATCTGTAACTCTCAAACTCAGGCAGTTGAAGTCAACATTCAGAAGGCAATTTTATAAGTGTGCTCCACTTTGACACTGGTCTGGAAAATGGTATGGACTTGGGACACCAACAGCTCTTCATACTTCCCTTAGCATATTTTTTTTTTAACTAAAGTTCTTCTCAGAGTTTCATTTTAGAAGTGTGACTTGGTTTACAGGTGCAGCAGTGGTAAAGTGCTTGCCTAACATGTACAGGCTGTGGGTTCACTCCCAGAATTACCAGTAGAGGGCTGGGGGTGAGGGGTTATCAAAAGAAAAAACACTGAAGATTAAAATCTTACCTATAGCTACACTTTCATAATCTCTCTACCTGGATCCCTTCTCTTGCAGATCCTGGGGTGAGTGGAGTAAAAGACCTACTCACTCACAAGGAAGGATTCAACTCTTCCCTAAAACAAATTATGGCGGGAATGAACCTTAGGCTCTAAAGAAAGAAAGCGCAAAAACAAAACAAAATATAACTCAGCTAGGCATGGTTCACCACACCTGTACTCCCAGCACACAGGAGATGGAGACAGAGGATCACTGCAAACTCAAGGCCCGTTTGTGAGTTCCAGGCCAGTCAGGGCCATACACTGAGATCCTCTCAAAAGAAAAGAACAAACTGGGCATGTGGTACATGCCTTTAATCCCAGCACTCTGGAGGCAGAGTTTAAGGCCAGGCTGGTCTAGAGAACAAGTGCTGACAGCGAGGGCTACACAAAGAAACCCCACCTCAAAAATCTAAAAAACAAGCAAACAAAACCTCCACAAGAACAAGAAAATGTATCTGTAATATAATTCTAAGAGCTAAATTTAGGGGGAAGTATATATAGTATATACAAATTTTTAAAACTATTTCCCCAAATAGGTTTTCTCAAGGAAGCTGGGTATTTTATCAGAAGAACTTCCTTATATCTCTTATCAAGTAATCAATCACTGCACTCCCAGCTTTTTATTTTTTACTAAATCCTACATTCCTAAGACTATGCCATGTGACATCTGGGTCCCACTTACCTGTATTTGTGATACTATAGTCTTCATTTTTCCTTCTCATGTGGTAGATTACAATGACCCAGATCAAAGAAGTGCCCACCACACAGCAGACCACCACAATGATGACAATGCCAACTGTGGTCCAACCATCATCCTCATGTCCAATGCTATTCTGAGAAGAGTCACAATTGGAGGATGAAATGACGTTTAAGTAAATATGTCCCCGCTCTGTCCCAAGAGTGTTAGACATAATGCAGGTATATTTTCCAGCATCTTCTAACCCAGCATCTACAATGATGAGAAGCTGATTGGCTGCAGCAAAGAAGTGTCGTTCTGTTACTAAGAGTGGTCCATCATCTTTGGTCCAGTTGAGGCGAGGAGCAGGACTCCCTCCAGCTATGCACTGCAATACTGCCGTTTCGCCTCGGGTGACAGTCTTGTCTTCCAGAGGTCTAATAAATGAGGGTGTCTCTAATAGGAGGTTAAAAATACTAAGTTAGGAAACGCATCTCCTAAATCCTATAGAACTAAGACTATTAAAAGTATGATGAATACTGAGCGGTGGTGGCGCACGCCTTTAATCCCAGCACTCGGGAGCCAGAGGCAGGTGGATCTCTGTGAGTTCGAGGCCAGCCAGGTCTACAGAGCGAGCTCCAGGACAGGCACCAAAACTACACAGAGAAAGCCTGTCTCGGGGTAAAAAAAATCTAAATATGAACTGGTCGTGGTGATACATGGCTGTAAATCCATCCACTCGACTTAGGAGGCCAAAGCAAAAGGATTACAAGTTTACAGCCACCTCAGCAACTCAGTAAGACCTATCTCAAAAAGAAAGTAGAGCCAGTCATTAGTGCTAGGGATTTCTGCTGTTTCTGAGGCAGGTTCTCAACTATACAACCCAAGCTGACCTAGAACTCTTGATTCTTCTGCCGCAGGCCCACGTGAACACACTTCTTTTGAATAAAGGTTTTTGACAGTCAGCTCAGAGTGGCTCACCTGAAACACATACTAAGTTCTCCAGGGTTATAGAGTTCTCCTGGGTTACAGAATGGTGAGGAGCAAGAGGGAAACGAGGAGGAGACGACCCCACAAAACTCTAGTATCTAAGAAAACAGAGACCTGAACAGCTTAATTTGTCTTGAATTCGAGTTACATAAAAAACTTGTTTTAGCCAGATGGTAGTGGTGTACACCATTAATCCTAGCATTTGAGAGTTAGAAGGAGGCAGATCTTTGTGAGTTCTGGACCAGCCTGGTCTACAGAGTGAGTTCCAGGACAGCTAGGGATACACAGAGAAACCTTGTCTCAAAAAACAAAAACAAAAAAGAAAAGAACAACAACAAAAAAACCTAAAAAAAAAAAAAAAAAAAGTTCACACCAAACACTCCAAATTGTTTTTTGTTGCCTTTCAAGGCCTGAGCAGCTTGCCGAGGCTCCAGTACAACAGCAGTCCTAACCCAGTAAGCATACCTAACACAATGAGGGAGGCATTCGCTGAGAGGCCTCCGGCTATGTTCTGTGCCATGCAGCTGTAGATTCCCATGTCTTCTATCTTAACGTTGGCAATGAAGAAGACATCATCCTCAGGCATGACATGCATTCGTCTTTCCCGGGCTGCAGGAAAGTCAGTACCACCGTCTTTCTGCCAGGAAATCTGAGGTGCAGGGTGCCCCTCTGCCGCACATTCTAATCTGGCCATGGCACCCGTGCGAATGGTTAGATCCATCGGAGTTTTCAGAAAAGAGGGCATCTCTGTTCCAAAAAAAATTACAGAGAAAGTAGGCAAAAGGAAAGCATGCACAAGCAGACAAATCTACTAATCTAGACTGTCAACGAGCCCAGCTTCTGAAAGCACCTTTTTCACCAGCACTTCTGCACGTGGAGCACGGTAGGTAACAGTATTTCTAGAGTACACACCATGCCTATCTGACCATGCTGACGGGAAGAAGTCAGAAAGCCAAAATCTCTCCTGAATCCAGATCAGCACTTGATGTTTAATATCACTCTTCCACTTGGGAAGTTAAGTGAGGCTTCCCAATCCAACACCAACAAGGGGTCAAGAGAACCACGGGCTTTTTGTTCGTTTTATTTTCATTATGCTTTTAAAAATGGCATTGAAGAAACACAGGAGTTGGGTACAGAGCTGGAGAGTTGGCTCAGTAGTTAAGAGCACTGACTGCTCTTGCAGGACTCAGGTTCAATTCCCAGCACCCACATGGCAGCTCACAACTGTCTGTTACTTCAGGAGATCCAATGATGTCTTCAGGCCTTCATGGCCACCAGGCATGCATGTGGTACAGACATACATGAAGGCAAACCACTCATACACATAAAATAATAAAATAAAATATAAAAACAAAAAATAAAAAAAGGCTAGAAATTAAATAAAGAACAGGAACAGGGCACAAGTACATCTTTTGGTTGCTCACAGCCTAAAACGCTGTAGTTGCTCAATCTCTTAGACAATAAACCAAGCTTTGGAAAACTTTTTTATAACCACTAGGAGGGGTTTCTTTTCAAAATGATTCTGGCCCTATCTGGAGAACTACAGAGACCACTGGCCCTGGAGATGTCCAAAATACTCTCAAGTATTAGAGGACACAGTGAACATATTAGAAAAAAATTCATAGTTTTCAAAGAATTATGGTTTTGGAAAGAAAATTCAGACCATTAAAAGAATGTCTTCAAGAGAAACAGAAATGGAAGAAAAGCATCTCCTAGGACAAAGAATGTAGGACAGTAGGTATAGGTGGGTAATCCAAAAGTCCACCCCTTCCATATACCACAACCAAGAGATAACAACACTAAGAGCTCCCTCCAAATGTGGGGCATGACCTAATTTTCTTGGTCAAATGACTTATAATTCAGATGTAAAAAGTACTTCAAGTACTTTTGCTCATCAGCATGGCCAGATAGGCCAGATAGTCATGGCATATGTTCTAGAAATATATAAATAAGCAAAAAAGTTAAGTATTCCAAAAGTCAAGTAGTACAATTCCTTACCATTCACAGTCAGTTTGGCTTTCTGCGAATAATTAGAACCAAAGTGATTAGTAACAATACACTGGTATTTCCCTTCATCTGTGAAGTTCACATTGAAGAGGTGTAAGACACTAGTATATTCCAGAGCTTCTCCAGCCTGCTGCCGATAACGAACAAAATTCTCGATATCCACATCATACAGGATTTCACTGTCCTTGCGCCATACAGTGGACATGGGAGAATCACTGCTGCTTACTGCAGTGCACGTCAGAGTCACATTAACACCTCTTAGAGCAACTGTGCTTTCAGGATGTGTCCTTAGCTGAGGCTTCAGAAAATCATCTAAAAGGAATAAATGCAATAGTGGCCAAGTCAGTTACTTATTTTTACTTCAGATTCAATTTAATACAAATATTGTAAAACTGTAAGCTTCATTCACAGGGGTTTAATATCGAAGGATACTATAAAGAGCCTAATTCCTTGTTTGTTTTGTTTTTAATAATTTATTTATTTTTATTTTATTTGCATTGGTGTTTTGCCTGCATGTGTGTCTGTGTGAAGGTGTCCGATTCTGGAGTTACAGCCAGTTGTGGGCTGCCATGTGGGTGCTGGGAACTGAACCAGGTCTTCTGGAAGAGCAGTCAGCGCTCAACCACTGAGCCATCTCTCCAGCCTCATCTAATCCCTTGTTTAAAGGTGAAGAAAATGAACTCCAGTTAAACATTTGTTCAAAGGCATTAGGCTGTGACAGAAGGTAGACTAGAACTCAGGTTCTGGATGTCAGCACCAGCATTCTTCCTACCATCCATCCCTAAGGACTCTTAGATGCTTACCATGAATTTCCTAAGCATTACCAATGGATGTGAAGAGGTGGAGAGAAACCTTATAGAAGAATTTCAAGGTAAGTTCTAATTCTACCATACCATGTATATACACACATAATGATATTTATGTCCTAGATATAACAATACATATACAAAATGTTTATAATAACCATTATCCTTTCTGTATAATACAGAAAATGGGAATATAAAATCTTTTTCATGGAGACTACTAATAAATGCATGACTTGAAAGTACTTTGTACATAGTTTCAACATTAAAATAGTCAAGAATTCAAACAGGATAAATGCACAAGTGAAAACTAGTTTAGGACTGGCGAGTGCACTATGGATTCATAAATAACAACATTCAGAAAGGCTGCTATAGAAATCCTGAACCAGCATCTTTACTAAGTAACATTCCATTGTACCTTAAAGGGTGTACCTGGAATTGTATGAAAAATAAGTATGAGGTAGAGTGCACATACCCTTAATCTCATCACTTGGGAAGCAGAGGCAGGAAGATGTCTGAGTCCCAGGCCAACCTGGTCTGGTCTGCACAGTGAATTCTAGACCAGCCAGGACCACACAGTGAGACCTTGTCTCAAAACATGTAATATGCCTTACATTTAAAACTAAGTAAAAGTCAAAGGGGAATGTGGAGCAGTGTAAGCAGAATTCAATTCATTGTAAAGAAGATTTAATTATAAAAGAAAACTTTCCAAGTTGAGGAAGAAAAAAAAATAGGTTTATTTTTGAAATCATAAATGTTATATTCAGGACATCCTGTTTATGACTATCTCTACTGTCTCAAAGATATGCTGCCACTCTGAGTCCTAAGAAATTCCATAAAGGGGCACAACAGAGCTAACAACCTGCAACTCCAGTTCCGGAGGATCTGACACCCTCTTATGGTCTCCTGGGCACTGCACACACATAGTGCACAGACATGCATACAGGCAAAACACCTATACACATAAAATAAAGATAAATTAATTTTTTTTAAAGAAAAGAAATTGCATCTGGGCCAGTGAAATGTCTCAGTGGGTAAAGGAGTTTGCCATCAAGCCTACTGATATGAACTTGCTCCCTGAACAGCCCCATGGTGGAAAGAGAGAACTGACAATCCCAAGTGGTCTATTCTTTTACCAAGAAACTACATCCAAAAAATGAAATTGGTGATTATAAAGACATACTGTTATACACTTATAACATTGCTGATGGCCACATAAAGTAATACCTTTTCAAAATTGTTCTTGATGGTTCTTTTCAAAATCTACTAAGTCTTCATATGAAAAAAAAATACATATTGATTCAGAAGTCTTACTTATGAAGTTAATCCTAAAGTTAATAATCCTGAAGTTTTATCCTAAAGTTAATAATTGCCCTCAAATTAAAGCCAACATTCACACTCCCATTAAAGCCAATGAGAAGGGACCATTGAGAGGGACCTTGCATTAAAAAAAATAAGAACAGTGAGGAAAACAATTGTTTATGAAACACTAAGTCAAAGAACACAAAATGTAGCCTGTATTTGCGTAAGTAATCACTGAGTCATGGCTTGGAGAGCTACACCACAGGGACATAAGATGGACTGTCAAAAACCATTTGGGGTGGGTTTTTGTTTGTTTTGTTTTGTTTTTGTTCATTCCCTTTATTTTGTTGTTACGATAGTTAACAGAAATTTAAAAATTTGAAAACAGAAATACAAACCACAGACAAAATCTTTCAGGTCCACATTGAGGATGCTTTGCCCAGCTAACCATTCAGGATGTGCACAGCTTACATTCACAGAATGATGAAAGTTGTTATCCACCAGCCACTGAAGTAGCCACTTCAAATGACAATCACAGAGCAAACTGCTTGTGTTCAGAACACTGCAGAAAGAAAACAAGGAAAAGAACCTTTCATTTTAGCTTTAGTCTTGTTTCTTCCACATAACTTTGCTACGCATTTATGCATTTCTTTATCAAAAAAGTTTATCAATTGTAAGAAAACAAACTCAGACAGTTAGCCTTAGTAATATGTCAGTGTTATGAAAAACATCAAAAAAGAATGAAGGACAAGAGAGCCATTTTTAGATTAAAGACAAGTAAAGAGCCACTGCAATAGCATGAAATGCATACAAGCATGCATGTTTGTTTGTTCTGAGACAGAGTTACTATACTACCCAGGCTGGCCTCAAACTTACAATCTCAGATATACACCATGACACCCACCGACACATGATTCTTGTTTGGGGGTGGGGGTTCTAAACAGGGAGGGATATGCATGTGTGTATATTGTAGTATGTGTATACACATGTGTGTGCTGTCTGCTGGAGATGGGGACTCAGATAGTCTAGGATGGCTTTGAGCTCACTGTGTAGTCAAGGATGACCTGGAACTTCTAGTCCTTTTGCTTCCACCTCTCAAGTGCTGAGTCTACAGCTGTGTAACACCACATCTGGCTTAACACAGTGCTGGGGATGAAACCCAGAGGTTTTCAGGCATGCTAGGAAGCACTTTACCAACTAAGCTGCATCTCCAACCAGGGTGATATTTCTGAAACTGGAAAAATTTGAAGATGAGCAATCTACTAGATACTATAATTTTATAAATGTTAATTTCATTGAGTATGAAAATGATATTGTAGCTATGTAAAAATGTCCCTGTTTTTAGGAAATACATGCCAAGCTACTCAGGAATGAAGTATCATGATGTCTATAATTTTTATTTTAATGTATATGAACATTTTTCCTGTGTGTATGTATATATACTGTGTGTTTGCCTGGTGCTTGAGGAGGTTTGAAGAAGGTATCAGATCCCCTGAAACTGTAGAAAAAGATAGTTGTGAGCTATCATGTGGGTGCTGAGAACCAAACCCGAGTTCTCTGCAAAACCAAAAAGTGTTCTTAACCCCCGAGCCAAGTCTACAGTCCCTCAATGTGTCTCCTCAGCTTTTAAACGTCCTGCAAACAACAAAAGACTTTTACATGTACAACGTATACGTAAAAACTACGTATGTGTAGAGAGTGCAGAAGTGAGAGTGAGAAAAGAAAGAGGGGACTGGGTAAGTTTGTCAGAGGGTTAACAACGAGGACATCCAGGTGGAAGGTGTATGGACAGTCAGGGGCCATCCTTGTATTCCCGAGGTTTAAAATCTTGAAACATTGTGGGCAAAGGCTAATCATCGATTTTGAAGCACTAAAAGAGCTTTATTGTGGGAAGTATATTGTTATTTTCAAATTATTTCATCAAGACTGAAAGCACTTCAGCCCTCTGGCAATGTATACTTTGACTCAGAGTAAGAGCAACTTTAAAAAAAAGTGGTCTATAAGACAGATCCCATTGAAGAATCAGTGCTTTTCTCTCCATGATCCTTTGGCAGAGCAAGCAAACAATTTGGGGAACACCACAACGTATTCTTTGTGCACGACTGAAATGCTCTATTCTTAACCTGATGGGAAGGGAGGTCGTGCCACAGTGCATGTATGGAGGTTCTCTCCTTCCACTGATCTGGGAATCTAACTCAGGTCATCAGCCTGGGAGCCTAGAATGCGCTTTTACCTCTTAACCCACCTACCCAGCCCTTAAAATACTTTTAAGTCTGCACTTATTACAACTTCTATGCTTTCTGGTATTCCTCCTCACACTCTGCCTAAGTACTTTGAGGCTCATGAGAGAGTTACATATAAATTGAAAGAAATTTTTTATTAATACTTTATTATGTAGTATTCATACACTTTGGAGAAAACGACATGGGGTGTGTGTGTACTGTTAGGCTCTTATAGGCACAGTCAGTGTGTGAGGGGTAGAAAGCAAAAGAAAGAGAAGTGAAGGAAACCACTATGAGTTAAATAGTGTATGTGGGCAGTCGCGGTGCTAAAGGCTATTGAAATCTTATGAATTAAATACTCAGCAGCTCAAATTGGCCTTGAATTGAGGTAGTCCTCATGCCTCAGCCTCCCAGTTGCTAAGATTATAGGCCTGAGTCACCACCCTTGCCTGCTAGAGGTTTTCTTTTTTTAAAGGGAGTGAGAGGTAATGCAACTATTATAATTTCAAAACATATATATAATTTGAGGTAAGCATTGTCCGTGTCATGGTTTCTTTTCACAGCAATAAAAACTCTAATTAAGACAGGGGCCCCCATATAAAAAGGGCTCAGAACGTCATAAGCTTACTCTTGCTCACTCTTGCTTTTTGAGTGTATGCCCACTCTCTCTGCCATCTGAGGAAGAGGGGAAAGAGGCCACCTGCAAGCCAGGAAGAGAGCTGGTACAGTGGCATAATCTTCTGGTATCATGATTTTGGACGTCCCAGCCTCAGTAACTGAAATAACCTTTTGTTTAAGCCAAAGGGGGGGGGGGAGGCTCAGGCAGCTGTCAAGACGGTTTGAGTGGGTAAAGATACTTGCCATGAAAGCCTGGTGACCTGAGTTTGATCCCAGAACCCATATATAAAGGTAGAAGGAGAGAACAGAATCTACAAAGTGTCCCAGACCGCCACACTATGCCACAGCATACAAGGCTTTCCCCACCCCCCACACACATCAAGTATACAACATAAAAAATTTTTTAAAAAATCATAAAGGCTAGGGATAGATCAGTGCTACAGCACTTGCCTGGCTCTGGGTTTGAATCTACAGATTACAAGAGAAAAGAAATTTCCAAAGAGTTATCTAAGTGACCCCAAAGCTAAGTCAGAAAGACTTTATATAAAATTTATTTTGAGAAATTTGTGAAAAAGAACACAAGGTTTGAACACCTGACTACATAGGATCACATAAAACTAAAACAGTCCCTATCTATTTAGCCAAAATGAAGGATTTTAAAGGTTACAGAACTTCAGTTTATAATTGTGGTTTGGGGAGGGGTGGTACATGTTCCTGTTCATGTGGGTATGTAAGTGTGTGTATGCATGCACTGGAATTGCACTTTATGAATTAAAAATCTCCCTAGCCCCATACAACTCTTTTGAAGTTAGCTCCTTTAATATCAAGAAGACTTGGTTTTCTTCAATCAAAAACCTGATAAAGTCAAGGAACCCAAAGAATCAGGAGCTTAAACAGGAAGATCAGGAGTTTAAGGCCAGCCTGGTCAATTATAGTAAAGCACTGTGTTTTAAAAACAGATACATAAAATAAAATAAAAAGAGGGCTGGAGGTGTGGCTGGATCAGTGCTAGAGAATATACTTAGCATTGACAAGATCCTACATTCTATCTATCCTGAAGGTGGAAGGCAAAGACAGACAGGGGAACAGTCAGGGACAGATGGCCCTTGGATAACCTTACTTTATGAAAGAAAACATATTTTAACAGTACAGAGGACAATGATTTATATTAATGTTTTCTCAAAACTCTTAGAACAAATTGATTCCATTTAGCCAGCTTGACCACATCAGACTCTTCCCAACTTCCTAATATCTATTCATTTTTTTTTTGGTCTCCATTTTCATTCTGCAGCAACTCCATACTAACACAAAATTACTTTCTCCTCAACTTTACAAATATATCTTTGGGGGCCGGTGAGATGCTCAATAGTTAAAGGTACCTGCTGCCAAACTTGATGACTTGAGTTTAACCCACATGGTAGCAGGAGAGACCCTGTATGCAGTGAACACACAAACCTGAGTAGAAACCCAGATAGAGCAAAATTGTCTGCATCACAGTCAATACTGACAATTCTGAAAAGAAAGCTGTTTTTATCAAACCAACAATAGTAGACTAATCTTTCATACACAGCTTATCCAAGCCATAAATATTTGAAAGCACATGGGTTAATTCTATGTTTCTGAGAGTTATATAAGTACCTGTTATTTTTTCTTGTTTTTTTTTGTTGTTGTTGTTGTTTTGTTTTTTTTTTTTTTGTTTTGGTTTGTTTTGGGTTTTTTCTGGCTTTTTGAGACAGTTTCTCTGTGTGGCCCTGGCTGTCCTGGAACTCACTCTATAGACCAGGCTGACCTCGAACTCAGAGATCTGCCTGCCTCTTCCTCCCAAGTGCTGGAATTAAAGGTGTGTGCCACCACTGCCCAGCTCAGTTTTTTGTTTCTGCTTTCTTTTTTTTTCCTTAAGATAGCTTTAAAAGAACTCTTTAAAGTATTTTATAAATTAACTTGGCAATATCATCTAGAGCAGTGGTTCTTAACTTTCTTAATGCTGTGACCTTTTAATACAGCTCATGTTGTGGTGACCACCAACTATAAAATTATTTTTGCTGCTACTTCAATAACTGTAATTTTGCTACTGTTATGAATCATAATATAAATATTTTTGGAGAGGTTTGCCAAAAGGGTCACAACCCTCAGGTTGAGAACCACTGATCTAGAACTAGACAAATATCACAGGGCTAAATGTGGCTCAGTGGAATAAGGGTTTGCTGTGAAACTATGAGGACCTGCATTTGGATGTCCAGCACCCATGTAAAAGGCAGATGTAGCCTCATGTATCTGTGACCCCAGTTCTCGGGGAGGCAAGAACAGGGAGATTCCCAAGAGCATGCTAGCCAGCCAGATTAGCCCAAATAGAGCTCCAGGATCAGTGAGAGACTCTGGCTAAAATAACAGAGGAACACTCCTGATGTCAGTTTCTGGCCTCTTAATGCACATTCATGTTGTTCACTCTCACAACGCATCGTGTTACATCCACAAAAACAGAAAATTATCAAACATACTTAACATTCATACCTAACGCATACAAACTACTATATAAACAGATACAAACAGAGAAACTACATCTTTCATTCTAAGATTTCAGTCTTAATCAGTAAAACACTAACATAAACTCATTTATTTACTTTTGTTGAGACAAGGTCTCTCTGTAGCTTTGGTTGGTTTGAAACTCACTATGTAGACTAGGCTGGCCTTAAACTCAGAGATTCTCCTGTCCCTGCCTCCC